AGAATCAGAAATGAATGGCTGAAGGAAGTGGTGGCAACAGCTGCATGGCTGTTTTTTGCAGAGGTACACATTGAGAAACAAGCAGAATATGGACAGGAAGTACAATTAGACTCTCCAGAAGCCCTTGTCTCTTGAAGAACAAGAATCTGCTTCCAACTTCTCTCTCTCTCTCTTTTATTACTAGCTGGAAAAAGAAAAAAGGAAGGAAGGAAGGAAGGAAGGAAGGAATTCTCCACTTAGATAGCCCTAAACCAGTGCTAGCAATGCTAGCAATAATGGTGCAACTTACACTCCAGATTTCAGTACATTGTTTAGCCAATATTATTTCTACCTTATAATAATTAAGTAAGCATTTTAATTTTCATGCTTACATAAATAATTGAGGCAGAAAGAGAAATGGATAGACTACCAAATGCAGCTTAAACTTCTGATGATTAATTAGGAAGTGTCATGATTATGGCTGCAAAGTGATAGTGGTCTGAATTTTGATATTTATATGGTAAAAATACTAAAGAAAGAATAGATACACAAATTGAAATGGCATGAAAATGCAGATCATAATCTCTTGACTACATAAAAATCTAGAAAGGTGGCTATCTTTTTCCATTTGCATGACAGAACAATATATCTCTGATAAATTATAGTAAATTCTGCTGTTAAATTTCTGTGAATATGAAATGACCCTAGAGTTCCTTATTCTGAAAAATTTGGTCAGAAGCTTCAGATTGGCAAATGGAATGATAATAGATTGGAAGATTCCTCTGATGGTTTCCATGGAAATTAATTGGTTAACTATTTTTTTCTTGATGCAGATTAATTGTTTTTTAAAAGGATATTATTGGAAAATATATTTCACCCCCATCTGGAAGGGGCAAGATGAGATTGTTATACAGGTAGTCCTTGACTTACAACCATTCGTTTAACGACTGTTTAAAGTTACGACAGCACTGAAAAAGTGACTTACGACTGGTCCTCACACTTACGACCATCGCAGCAATCCCACAGTCATGTGATCAAAATTCGAGTGCTTGGCAACCAGCATGCATCTATGACAGTTACAGCGTCCTGGGGTCATATGATCACCATTTGCAACCTTCCCAGGGGGCTTCCGATAAACAAAGACA